CTACCCTGTCTCCCTCCCTCATCCTTTCTTTCTCAGCACAGCAGTCGCAGGGACTGTCAGGTCCTGTGGCTTCTCTCTCTACCCTGGGGAGACAGCTGCCTCAGCATGATGACAAACCCTTCTCCTGGTCTCCCTCCTTCTCTGTCCCCTTCACTCAGTCCTCCCTGGCCTCCCTGGCTGCCTTTCTAGGCTGCTCATCAGCATCATGCACTTCCTGGGCCAGCACTTGTCGTGTGCTGCTTCATTTTGGTCATTCAGGTGTTACCGAACTCCAGTCCCATGCCCACTCCAGCCTGAGTACACTACACTGACCGCTGTCTCTGACCTGACTACACTGCACTGACCGCTGTCTCCGACCTGACTACACTGCACTGACCGCTGCCTCTGACCTGACTACACTGCACTGACCGCTGCCTCTGACCTGACTACACTGCACTGACCGCTGCCTCCGGCCTGAGTGCGCTGCACTGACCGCTGTCTCCGACCTGACTACACTGCACTGACCGCTGCCCTTGGCCTGAGAACACTGCACTGACCGCTGCCTCTGGCCTGAGAACACTGCACTGACTGCTGCCTCCGGCCTGAGTGCGCTGTACTGACCGCTGCCTCTGGCCTGAGTGCGCCGCACTGACTGCTGCCTCCGACCTGACTACACTGCACTGACCGCTGCCTCCGGCCTGAGTACACTGCACTGACCACTGTCTCCAGCCTGACTACACTGCACTAACCACTGTCTCTGGCCTGAGTACGCTGCACTGACTGCTGCCTCTGGCCTGAGTGCACTGCACTGACCTCTGTCTCTGGCCTGAATACACTGCACTGACCGCTGCCTCTGGTCTGAGTGCACTGCACTGACCGCTGTCTCCGGCCTGAGTGCACTGCACTGACCGCTGTCTCTGGCCTGAGTGCACTGCACTGACCACTGTCTCCAGCCTGAGTGCACTGTACTGACCATTGTCTCCAGCCTGAGTGCACTTCACTGACCACTGTCTCCGGCCTGAGTGCTCTGCACTGACCGCTGTCTCTGGCCTGAGTGCACTGTACTGACCATTGTCTCCAGCCTGAGTGCGCTGCACTGACCGCTGCCTTTGGCCTGAGTGCACTGTACTGACCATTGTCTCCAGCCTGAGTGCGCTGCACTGACCGCTGCCTTTGGCCTGAGTGCACTGTACTGACCATTGTCTCCAGCCTGAGTGTGCTGCACTGACCGCTGCCTGCACTGGGTTCTTAGCTTGCTATGGTCCCCTCCCCTACTAGAAAACGAGCGCCATGCAGACTAGGCCTTTCTGACCTGCTCATGGCCAACTCCCCAGTCCTAAGGACACACTTGTGGCTAGCTGAGTGAGTGACTGCCACAAAGCCACTCCGGGAAGGCTCTTGACAGTACCCACTGTCTACCTTTCTTCTCTCTAAGGATGGCAGGCTCTTCCTTCTGCAGCAGGCATGTTGTCTGCCTGTCCGAGGTGGCTGACTACTACCACAACAGACAACCTAGAAAGGACTCCCACAGGGACAGAGGAGGACTGATCCTCTAAGCCTCCCATAACCAGGCTAACAATGACTCTGCCAGGAAACCTGTGGTGCCTACTGGCCCACCTGCAAGCTTCAGGCTTGCCCAGACATGTCTGGCTTCACTCCCACCTGGGGCTTCTCCATTTCCACTGGGTAGCTTGGGTGACAGTTCCTGTTTAGTGTCCATGTTTCTTCTACATACAGCACATGGCCTTCTGGGTCACAGAAAACCCAGGCCTGGTGGGAAGAGCAAGGCTATCAATACTCCCCATTCTGCTCGTGCAGGGAGTGATGGACACGTGGGCTGTGCCACTGCATGCAGGCAAGCTCGGAGTGGGTGCCTTTCCACATACTGCATAGGCTGGTACCAAGCCAGGTCCCTAAAGCCAGCACTGACATCTGCACCTAACTGGCTTTATCATCTTGAGCAAATTACTCAATCCCTTGTTTACACTTAGTTCCTCATCTCTTTTTTACAGTGCATATGTACACCCCTCAAAAAATAATGAAATGAATGGATTTATACGTTTATACATATCTGTGTAACAGCTACTCCAATCAAGCTAGAGAACATTAAAGAACTCGGATGCCCTTCTCTTCTCCTTCCTTCTTATCCGCCCTCCCCTCCCCCACCCCTTCGGTGTTTTTCGAGACAGGGTTTCTCTGTGTAACAGCTCTGGCTGTCTTGGAACTTGCTTTGTAGCCCAAGCTGGCCTGGAACTCACAGAGATCTGCCTGTCTCTGCCTCCTGAGTGCTGGGATTAAAAGGTGTGTGCCACCAAGCCCAGCTCCTTCTTATCCTTTGGAGGCATTCATTTCTCTGTTTTCCTTTGCTCCTAACCACCCATAAATGCTATCATTCCCTCTGCGTTACCATTCATCTCACGTTCATCAAGGGAATCCTAGTATGCCACTTTGTGATTGGCTTCTTCAGTTCCACAGTTTCATAATTTTAATATAGGCTATTGGGTGGGGCTCTGGTGGATTCCTTCAACCCACTGTAGAGCTTCCCACTGTAAGAATGAGTTAGTTATTTACCCATAAGGTTGCTAAGTGCTAGAGTTAGTTTGGGACCATAAATTCAGGGCTGTGAAACCTTGCTGCATTTCCTGGAACTGTGCACATCTCTATATGGGATCTGTTTGCCAAGGGAAATGCTGAATCCTGTGTGTCACAGCAGTGACTTTACCAGATACCTCCAAGCAACTTCCCTGCTCATAATTGTTGTGGAGTGTTAGTTTAAGATGTGTTACATTCTTTTATGCTGTGAAATATTTGGTTAATGATGCAAAGATGTGTTGCATTCTTTCATGTTGCATTTGTCTAACTCTGTGAAGCTGTGTTACTGTGCCTGTCTAAAACACCTGATTGGTCTAATAAAGAGCTAAATGTCTAATAGCAAGGCAGGAGAAAGAATAGGTGGGACTGGCAGGCAGAGAGAATAAATAGAAGGAGAAAAAGAGAAGAGGGAGGAAGAGTGAAAGGAGAGGAGGACTCCAGGGACCAGCCACCCAGCTACACGGCAAGCCAAGGAGTGAGAAGTAAAGAAAGGCATATAGAAAGGTAAAAAGCCCAAAGGCAGAAGATAGATGGGATAATTTAAGAAAAGCTGGCAAGAAACAAGCCAAGCTAAGGCCAGGCATTCATAAGAAAGAATAAGACTCTGTGTGATTTATTTGTGAGCTGGGTGTTGGGCCCCCAAAGAGCTAGAGAGAAAAAAAAAACAAACCAGTTATAGATGTATGCAAGACTTGGGTGACAAGTAGAGGTATCATGGGGCCTAATTCACGTTTCTTTGGTGACCAAGGAGCTTGAGCCCACTCACCATGTTCACAGACCATGAGAACTGCTTCTTTGCAACGTGCTCATTCAAGCCATGCCCATGTTTCTATTGATTCACCTTTGCCTTATTGAGTAGAGAATCATGATGGGTTCACACGTTACAAACCTCTCCTTAACCCACTGCTTCCCTGTCCAACTCCGAACTGACTTTTATAGAATGCATGGCCTTGGTTTACTAGGTATAGATCGGTCCTTCTCCTCTCTGTAAACTCCCTCTGGTGCTCATTGCCTCTTATGAGCCACAGCCAAAGCACATGATGTCTGCTCCGGATTCTGCTCTGCTCCTTTGGCTTCACTTTCAATGTCCTGGCACAAAAAGAGGTCCCTGGAGGCTACAGAGGTCGTCTTTCGGTGGCTCTGGTCTTCCGAGGCCACTAAATGGTCTGTGGGTCAACTCAGCGGTGATCATGAGGCTGCCCCAGTGAGGGGCAACAGAAGAACCATCGTAACTTCCAACATTACATTTACTCTTCTACACAAGACTTAGTGAAGGTGATCAGGAAGGTCATAGCCAGCAATAAAAGAGAAGAGCTGGTCAGGTAGGAGGTGGAAGGCACAGGGCTTGTCAGATCTGGATGTGGGCTTGGAACTCCCAAAGGTGAGGATCCGTCCCTGCCTGACGAATGTTACAGGAAATGAGGATGTCCACACCATGGCTAGAACCAGGGGGTTGTGCCCTCTTTCCCCTCACCCCAACATGGTGACACTGTCATGAACACTCTTGGAGATGACTTCATATAGACAACAACCTATTAAGACAGCCTTGTGTCTGCAGTCAGCGCTTTCTTTTCTCCCAGGACCAGACCTGGACAAAGCCCAGAAGCTCCCTTTAGAATTCATCCGCAGCCAGCACCCCACGTCCCCCCATCTCTGCTTGTTTCACTCTGTCCCAGCCTGCTATGGCCACTCTTGTCTTTGTGGTCCTCTCCTTACTGGATGACTAAAAGGCTTTCAATCTAAGTCCACTGTCCCCGGTGCCCTGTGGCATCCCCAGTGACGTCTAAACACTGCCCTCCACGGCCCCACTGCCCAGCCACCTCTCTCCCCTCCCCTCCCAATGTCCTCATCTCCACTTCCCAGTCCCTTTGCTCCCTTGCATCTCTCACTCATGAACACCTCAGATATGTGTACTTGTCTGTCTTGTCTATAGACTGTGGCAGACAGCAAGGCGTGGGAGTCAGGGACACCACCTGCTCTGTTCACCACTGAGTTCCCAGGTCCCTGGGATAGACCAGGTATCATTTACCACTAACTGAATGCTTTGCATGAACAAGCAAGCAAACAGCAGATTAAGAACAGGAAGTGGGCACAGGGTTCAGGGTTGGGTTCCAGTGTGGCAGGGAGGCCTAGGAAAAGGGAATGGTGAAGACTGAGGAATTGGATATGAACACAGGGTAGTGTGTAGCCCACCTGCACTGTGTGTGAAGGCCACTCAGCATTCAGCAGGGTATCTAGATGCAAGGAGACTAGCATGTAAAGGCCATATGCTCATGTCCCCTGCCAGGGGGGCTAAGTACTAGGCTGGAGGCATGACTTCAAGGACAGTAGCAGAAGGACCAGGCTGCCGTCAGACATGCAAGATGCAGCATCCAGCAAGGCCCAAGCAAGAGAGAACTTGGGGGCTCGGGGCAAGAGGACAAGATTACCTGTAGACAGGGGTTCTACAGGGTGGGCATGCGAGTTTCGGGAAGTACCTCCGCCCAGTGGGGCCCAGATGACACGTCGGATGGCCTGCACCCAGTCCTCCATGTCACGCTGGGAGCTGGCCATGAGCAGGAGCGCCTCAGGGTTGGCTGGCACCTTCTCCCGCTCCCCGGCACCACCTGCAAGACAGAAAGACAAGGCTTACTGCAGGGTCCCCAGATAGGAGAGCAGGTCCCCTCTGGACATCTGTGAGCCCAGCTCTTGCTTATAGTATGCAGCCAATCTCTTCCCACACCTCACAGGCCTTTCCATGGGGGTCCTTTCTGAGTTTTCTTTTTTCTAGACCCTTGCTCTCAATTTGGTTTGTTTGTATTTGTTCATTTGAGTCCATATCAAAACAGAAGTCATGTAAGTATAACAGGACATTCCTGGGGGACATGCCTATTTCAGGGCCACTCAAAGAAGTTCAGTCCCTAGAGCAGCTTCACTGTGTTTTGCCTAAATCAGGGTCGCCCGCTGTGTGTGACACTCACTGCGCTTTACCCTCCATGTAGCTGACCACCCCACACATCAGATTCCTTGTAAGCACCAAGGTTACAGGGGCCACATGTTTTTTTTTTTTGTTTTTTTGTTTTTTGTTTTTTGTTTGGTTTTTCGAGACAGGGTTTCTCTGTGTAGCTTTGCGCCTTTCCTGGGACTCACTTGGTAGCCCAGGCTGGCCTTGAACTCACAGAGATCTGCCTGGCTCTGCCTCCCGAGTGCTGGGATTAAAGGCGTGCGCCACCACCGCCCGGCTACAGAGGCCACATGTTAAGCCCGATGTTCAGGAGTTGTCTACTGGCGGCTAGAAGGCAGGAGGGAGAGGGGTGAGAGCTGGGCTCCTTGGAGCTAACTCGCCCTCAGCAGCTCTCCTGGCTCCCAGGTTGCCCTCTGCAAGTGAGCCCATCACTCTGATGTTCCAAAAACCACTTATGCTGGGCTCTCTGGACAATTTACAGGAGTTTCAAGAATGGTTTCCTCACCCTCCACATCCCCAAACACTGTTACTTGTGTAGGATCCCACCCAGGACAACGTGCTGCGGATGAGAGGGGACAGAAGAAGGCAGGCAGGGATCCCTGGTAGCCCCGGACTGTTCCTTGTGGGACTGTGGCCCAGGGAAGGAGCCCAGATGGGAGCAGACGCTTCCTGAGCACTGGAAAGTTCCAGAACAGTTCTGCTGAGCACACAACCACCCTCTGCCCATCTTCACAAGGACTGAAAGCAGTGCTGTTACCAAGTATATTTTGAGGGGCCAGGGTCTCTCACTACTTTACCCCTGAGCTATCTACACCTTAGCCCATCCTTCCTAGTTTATAGACAAGGAAACTGAGGCACAGCCTAATTAAGTAACTTGCCTGCACTCATATAGTTCCTAAGAGTTAGAAACATGCATTCCAGGTCTTGGTGCTTGTCCACCAAACCACACTTCTCACCACCTTCTAAGAGTACGTCAGCATGTTAGGGTCACAGCAAGCAGCCCAGAGCTGAAGAGGGTCGTCAGCAGACTGCTGTGAGAGCTGTACCCAGGGAGGGCATGACCTTGCTGAGGGTGTTATGAGCATGGAGGCTGGGACATCAGGCCAGTGGGCAGAAGGACCCCTAAGCTCAGGGGGGTATTGAGCAAGATACTCCCAGGTACAGACAGACAATCCTTGTTCACTGGGTGACCAGGCATCAGAGGCATCGAGGTGGAGAGGAAGGAACGGGAGGCTCATATGTGCTCCTGTGGCTGTGGTCTTACCCATGGACGTGGCACTGACAATGAGCGGCCAGCTCAGAGCAGCTTGGTCTCAGGGGTAGAGGACAGTCACCATGTGGGCCACACAGACCGTGGGGTCCTAGATGGGGAGAACCTGATCCCTTCAGAAGCTTTCTGTGTGACCTCAGAGCATCACAGCACAGTCCAGAAGAAAGGGACCCAGAATTCCACAGATCTAGGAATTGACCAGCACTTTGTTTTTGTACCCAATCGTGAATTTCTATTTTTAAAATTATTTTTTTTAAAGAAGGTCACCCACGCAATATGTTTCCCATTCTACAAAATGTGCATCCGCCCATCTCAAAAGTGGGCAGACATCCTTGTGCAGAGCTGTATCCCTCCCTGACCAGGGGCCTATCCCAGGTGCCAAGAGTCTGCATGTTATAGCTTTTAACAAAGATGGGCACTCTTTTTGTTTTAAAATGCTCCTTGGGACATCTGTTGAAATGAACCTATGGATTTATTAGTGTGTTAATATAGCAGACTTAGGGATTTTCAAATACTAAACCAGCCTTATACTCCTGGAACATCTTCTCCTTGCTAATCTTGTATTAACCCGTTTGTATATAGTTGGACAAAATTTTATCCATAAGTTTTCTTATCTCTTCACAAGGGGTGTTGGTCTGTGTTGTTGTTTTTGTTTGTTTTCCCCTATAGTGTTGTCTTAGTCAGGTTTCTATTGCTGTGACAAAATACCATAACCAAAAAACAGGTTGGAGAGGAACAGGTTTATTTGGCTTACACTTCCACATTGCTGCCCATCTCTGAAGGAAGTCAGGACAGGAACTCAGACAAGGCAGGAACTTGGAGGCAGGAGTTGATACAGAGGCCATGGAGGGGTGCTGCTTTCTGGCTTGCTTTCCCTGACTTGCTCAGCCTGCTTTCTTACAGAACCCAGGACCAGCAGTCCAGGCATGGCGCCACCCACCATGGGCTGGACCCTCCCCCATTAATAACTAGTTGAGAAAATGCCTTACAGCTGAATCTCATGGAGGCATTTCCTCAACTGAGGCTCCTTCCTCTCTGATGACTCCTAGCTTGAGTCAAGCTAATACACAAAACCAGCCAGCCCAGATTTCTTTGTCCAGCTTTGGTTTCAGGACAACACAGGCCTCACAGAATTAAGAATTCTCTCTTTTTCAATTTCTGGGGGGAGACTTTGTGTAGAATTTCTATTATTTATTCCTTAGTGTTTGGTAGACTTCAGCACTGCAGTCACCTATTCTTGGCCTTTCTTTATAGGGAGAGGGTTTAAAATTTGCTTTAAGAGCCGGGTGGTGGTGGCGCACGCCTTTAATCCCAGCACTCGGAGGCAGAGACAGGCGGATCTCTGATTTCAAGGCCAGCCTGGGCTACAAAGCAAGTTCCAGCACAGCAGGGCTACACAGAGAAACCCTGTCTCAAAAAACAAAAACACCAAAAAAACAAAAACAGAAACAAAACACTCCCCCCCCCAAAAAAACCCAACCAAACAAAGAAATCACTTTAATACATACATATTTTGCTTCTATACAAAACTGTGGTTGTTTGTGTCTTTTTTTTTTTTTTTTTTTTTTTTTTTTTTGGTTTTTCGAGACAGGGTTTCTCTGTAGCTTTGCGCCTTTCCTGGAACTCGCTTTGGAGACCAGGTTGCCTCCCGAGTGCTGGGATTAAAGGCGTATACCACCACCGCCCTGTTTGTGTCTTATAGAGAATGTTTCATCAGTGTTACTAAACGAGCCAGCATAAGGTTGTTTATCACAGTCCATCGTCCTTTTAGAACCTGAAGGGTCCCTTCTCACTGGCCTTGAGAGGTTGGTCATCTGTGTCCCTTTCTTCCAGGTCAGTCTCGCCAAACTCCAGTTCCCGTTACTGACCTCAAACGGCCTCTGGCTGAACTGACTTTGACTATCGGTCTGCTGGTTAGTAAACTTTATTTAAAGGTTAGATGGTAAGTATCTTAGGTTTGTAGGCCAGATAGTCTCTGCCACAGCTTCTCCACTCTGCCACACTGAGAAAAGCACTGAACCAGCAGGCCAGAATGGGAATGAGGAGGCCTGGGCACGCTGTGAGAACCGATTACAGAGCAGGCCAGCCAGGCTGCATGCTGCCCTGCTTGTCTCCCTGCCTTCCGAGTTCGCTCTCCTCTGCTTGCTCCGGGTTTGTTTGTTTTTCATTTCTTACCGTGTCTGGTGCTGTTGTCGCCCCAAACTCTGCTTTAGAGCTAGTCCCCAGTTTGGGGTACACTTTCTCTTTAATTCAGTTCGAAACACTTTCCACTTCTCTTTTTAGAAATGGGTAAGTTCCAAATGTGGGGTTAAGATTTCTCTGAACCATTTCTGTTACTGATTTCTTACTTAGTTCCACTGCAGAAAGAGAACATATGTATATGATTTGAGTCATTTTATATTTCTTAAAATTTGATTTTGGCTCAGACCATGATTTTGTCTTGGTAGCTATGCTGTGAACCAATAAAAATGGTCCTGCTGGGTGTGGTATGGGGTGAGAGTCTACTAAAGTCAGCCAGATCTCTTTGGGCAGTCATTTAGGATCTCTGATCCCTGCCCTGGCTTTCTGTTCACTTGCTCTATCGATGATTGGGGTGAGCTATTAAAATCCTCTGCTAGAATCCTGTTTTTGTCTATTTCTCTCTAGATTTCTATCAGTTTTTGTTCCATATGAAGGATCGTAAATAGTTAGAGCTGTAGGTGAATCTACAGCCTCCCAGCCCCACTCACTAATAGTCTCTGGGTGAGAATCGCTGATGTGTGGTCTCCCAGCTTCCCTGTGACTTCTGTCAGGGTGGCAAGACCTTTGCCCATTTCAAAAACACTTCTCTGGAACTTCTACATGCATGTCTTGTCAGGCAGATGATTGGGACTTGCTTTTTTTAGTCTCACCCAAGAAGGTTTCTTTATGAGTGTCGGTATGCTTGAGTTTAAGTCCCCCTTCTGTTTAATGGTGGACTTATTGTCCCTTTACCCTCCTTTTTATACTTTCTTTCTTTTGGGATACTTGTGACAGTGTCTCATTACATAGCCCAGATCCTCTTGACTTTCCCGTCTCTACCTCCTAAATTCTGGGATTACAGATGTGTGTCACTTCATCCAGCTGTCTTATTATTTTAAAAGTTGTTTTATAGTGGGGTGTGTGTGTGTGTGTGTGTGTGTGTGTGTGTCTGTGTGTGTCTGTGTGTATGTAAACATGAATACAGGTGCTCTTAGAGTCCAGAAGAAGGTGTTGGATTCCATGGAGCTGAAGTTAGAGCAGTTTGAGAATGGTCCAATTTAGAGCTGGGATCCAAACTTGGGTCTTGTGGGACACCTCTCCAGCCTCTATTTTACTATTTTTATGATTCCATTCAATCTCTTACGTTGCTGGTTAGCAAAGCCCTCTCTCCC